TTCCGTAATGTCCGTGCCATTTTTAGCCGTACCATCACGTAAAATGAGCCTCTACGTGCCACACATCCGTACCATTTTGTGCATTCCCGAAACCAACACGAGCCACAACCCGGACCACTTTTCTCATAGGGTCGGACGATTGTATGGGTGTACGGCGATTTACAAATTTGATAAATTTGCAAACCGCATAAATTTTACTCTTTACTATCGCTACTGAATTATTAAAAATGTAATTGTCCATCAAGAATGAAAGCAATGGTCACGAGTTTAATGAAAAAATTGCATCTTAGCTATTTTGTTCAAAAGTAGCGTTATTTTAGGTGCACTGAAATCTGAACAAATCGCCCAACCGGACGACAGCCAGATATTGATGCAGACTTATGACATCAATTAGTTACGTCCTATATAAAAAATCGGTTTATAAAATAAGGTGCAATTGAGCCGTAACTAGTGACGTAAATAAGTCTGCATCTATACAGCCAGATAATTGTGGATCTATATCATGATTCAAATTGCTACAAACAAACGTATATTCTTAGAGAAGTTAATTTTTGTGTGAAGAAAAATACCAAAATGCGACTTTGAGTTACATAAGCACCAAAATAAATGTTATTTTACTTAATTTTTTTTTAATTTTAGCATGATAGATTTACTGAATATTTTGGCAGATATTACAAACCCGGAAGAGCTTCGCATAATATTGTCCTTGTAATTAAGTATATTCAGGATTCGAATGTTAATAATAGTTGGAATAGAAAAGTATTTATAATAATATTTGAAGTGTAATTGGTTTAATTAAACGTTATATTTCTATTTTTGATGCAAGAATACTACTCATTAGAAAATAGTTGGCATATTTAATAGGGTTTAATCCTGCAGATAGTTTAGAATCTTCATTCTATTATCAATTATTGCTCATTCTAATTAATATTTTGCCATTGTTTTCTATTGCCTTCCATATTCCACGAAGAATTACATACAAACTTTATCATATTGGATAATAAAAAGTTTCATGACATATTTGTTTGAGTAATTAAGATTGCAGCGGATGATAGATTTGCAATTTTTCTAGCCATAATTTTCACATTTGTAAAGCAAATTCTATAAAATCTTGGATACAAATTATGGTTGGAATCTTAATTGTTAAATAAAATTTGAAGGTTGTTTGAGAACTAGGTTATTAAATTATACGAATTATGAAGATTTTAAATTTAATTATATTTTATTATAAATATTGCAAATGTAATCTAATACTGTAAATGATAAATTTATTAAATCGTACTACAATATTATTAAAAAGGCTTTTAGTGTTTCTTTTACATGTTAAATAATGCGCTAATAAATTAACAAAATTGGCGTAAAATTATTAAAATACTGTTACTTTTAAATGCTCAAATTTGCTTTATTGTAGGCCTTAATTTACTAAATTATTATTTTAAAAATACTATAATGCACTAAATAATGTTTATTATTGGGAAATAATCGCATATTTTAAATTTTGTATTTTCTGTAATGTTGACACAAATGGTACAACAGGAGGTGTCGGTGTTGCCCGATTTTCGCTTGTAACTTTACATAAATATTGATTATATAAATATTTTTGTATAATAAATGATAAATATAAAATATTTATTAGATATTAAAAATGAATATAAGAATTTTATTTTAACTTTACATTAAATAATATATTTCGTTACTTGAAAGACCAAAATTTTATTTATTGGCAGAAACATTCTTGTATTTAAAACTTCAATTATAAGATTACACACTTCACTTTCTTTCTATTTCTACTAGAATCTTTACCCCCTTCGCTATTCTGTATTATCATTTTAGCCACACTATAAAACGCCCTTTCCACATTCACACCCGTTATTGCGGAACCTTCAACAAACTCGCAATTGAGTCTTCTTGCCATATTCATCCCTTCTTCTCTTGAAACTTCACGCTCAGTTATTTTGTCAGACTTATTACCCATAATCATAAGTGGAACAGGTTCATTGTCTTTTACACGTATAATTTGATCGTAAAATTGTTCTACTCGTTCAAATGTTGATCTTGAGGTTATAGAATACATTATTAGAAAACCTTCACCATCCCTGTAGAAGGAACAATTTATTAAAATTAGAAAATTTTTAATTGCCCGACTTTAGTATGAATTATTATGTTTTCAGAAAAGCTTTCACGGACATTTATTATGAATACAATACCTGATCCATTGATAATATAGAAATATATCTTCTGCTCCTGTATTAAAATTTAATTAAACAGAATTAAGCGAGTAAATATTTGTTTATAAAATTTTGAAAATACGGTATTATATTACTGTACTTAGTAATTTTATAAATTAATAACTTTTGGCTACCGAACATAAGAGTTAACACCCTAAACATGATTAAACACCCCTTATCATATGATACTTGTCATGCATATAATCCTAACAAATACAATTTAATATACAATAGCTTAGACTATTTACGAACCAGAATCCAATAATTCTATAACATAAGGATGATCGTCAATGACCACTTTTTTTCGATATGAATCTTCTATAGTTGGGTCATATATCTAAACATGAATACTATTCTAGTTAATAAACATTTTTAAATCTACAAAATATCCAGACATTTAAACACAAACCTCTATTTAAACAATCCAATAAAATTACTTTGTGTTTAGTAATTAGACCAAATTTGTGAATATATTATATTAAAGACAAGCTCCTAAAGCCTGCTCTGATACGCTTACCAATAAAGTGGTTTAAACATAACTATAATTAAGAACACCAAATATTAAAGGTCAAGTAAGCTTAAAGTTTTTAAAAATGTACTGCCATTTTGACTAACTTGAATTGTAAGTGTCGTCTGATTGTAAATAAAATTCAATCAAAATGATTAATCAAATGAAAATATCAATTTCAACTAGCTAGCCAATTAATTCAAATAATTATATAGCAATCTATACCTTTCCAACACCTTTATCTCCAAGAACGACTAACTTGTATAGCATCATCGTGGTAAACCACTGCAAAAGTATTTATGACGATTCTTGTCTAAGAGTGCATTTAATGGTGAACTTGCAGCGTAACGCAGCACAAATTAATTAAAACTGCACTACAAAAATTGCGGTCCATTTTTGTGGGGCAATCCCCATCGGCAGACCGAACAAAATTCGCTTATGTCCAAATGGGCCTTAAAAATAGATATTCTCCATTTTTTCATTATATAAAACAAGTATTAAATCTAAAATTTATTCTGAAATTCTGTTTAAAGGTTGGAAGCAAGCTGTCATAGTAATATTTTACAATAGTTTATTGGTACACAAAGATTTTGCGGGTTTATTTGCTTCCGGCCTATATGAGGGGTCCGAATTTGAAGCATTTTTTATAGTCAGATGTCAGTTAACTAGTGTAAAATTAATTATCCGGTTTCACGGGTTAATTTGTACCCGGGATTTTGTGGTGCTGGGTTCGATTAGGGTTGAGACATGCATAAATGGATTTGCATGATTTAATTAAATTTGTAGTCTAATGCGTGTAACCCGGATAATAATATAACCGGAGATGAATCCTAAGCAAAGCGAAAACTCTAATAAAATAATAATCAGAATTTCGAATAAACGACTAATAATACACTTAGTGGTCGCTGTTAAGGATGGAGTACCTGAGCATACTCCAGTCGAATATAATAATTAAGCGAGTCGATTTTAGTGGGAAAAGCCGTAAAGATCCTGCACCTAATTTATTTGTAACGTTTCACTGATTAAGTAATCGCAGCAAATATTATTCATAACAAATTATCAACATTCACTATGCAAACGAATTAGTAAATATTTAACTCTTGGAGAATTTTACTAGAAGACAAATTTAGTCACCATTTATTTAACATGCACGAACATCTGTATAGTAATAAGCATCAGAAATTAAACCAATCAGAAATATTTTGTTAAAAGGTATTTTCATTAGATTATGAATGCCCTAATTGATGGGAAAAGTGTCGGGAATAAATTTTACTTGGCGGAAAACATTTTATGTTGTTCATTATGATGGTTATTTTAAATAACATCTGCAACTTTAAAAAATTTATTATGTAATTCAATAATTACCTCACAACTTAGTACTTCCATTGAATAAGCTTTTTGATTTCATAAATGTTTGTTATTCATAATTATATTTTGTAAATATTTATGATTTAATGTCTAATTTTATTTGCGATAGTGTACCGGTAGTCTGTAAACATGAACATTTATTAACCTACAGTAAGTATTTAAAATAAGTTATTCAACTCATGAATCTTTATTATTTACTCTCATTAACAGTTAGTGAGCATAAAAAGTCATTTGCATTTCAATCTAAGTGCCGCATAAATAAACTAAAAATGGCATATGAATGTAATTCAGACATAGCAATTAATTTATGGATAATAGAGGCAAGAGGTGTTAAGCATAGGCCTTATAATTATGAATTATATGATCTAATGAATCTATAGCTGCCATCAAACTATTGGAACAGCCAAAACCATGAATGATTATTATCACATAGTTTTAACAGAATTTTAGATAAAGAATTAAATGACTAAAACTAGGTTAAAACTAATGTGATGCTAATTGTCACATGGATTGGACCGTTCCAACAGTTTAGACGGAAACTTAAATAACTGAAATTGACAACAAGGGCGCGGTGTTGACCTGTAACAATATAATTTTAAATGGATATTGATTATACAATAATATGTATAATAAATGAAGAATAGATATTAAATGAATACAAGAATGTTTTTTTTTTTTTGGTAGTTTTTACTATAGTATAAAATCCATAATTACTCATTAATCTTCTATTTTTACTTTAGATTAAACAAAATATTTCGTTACTTGAAATAACATATTTTCTCTACATCAATTTGTTGGCGGAAAACACCATTACTGTTTATCATTTTAACACTGCGATTTACAGTATTGTCATTTTGTTACACAAAATTTTGATTTTATTAGATTCAGACATATATAAGAGGTCCGAATTTGAACACATAAGTGTACTTTTTATAGACAGATGTTTAACTAATGTAGAATGTTTAGATAACTAATTTATTTGTTTACAACACTTTTGAAAACATAAAGTTTCACCAATAAACAATTGCTACAAATATAATTCATAACGAAGTATCAGCATTCATTATGCAAACAAATTAGAAAAGGTTTAACTCTTAGAGAATTTCACTAGAAGACAAATTTATTCACTATTTATTTACCATACAAGTACTGTACATCTATATAATGATAGAAAATTAAACCAATAAGAAATATATTGCTAAAAGGTAGTTTATTGGATTATGGACGCCTTAATCGATGGGAAAAAGTGTCTGGGAATAAATTTATTTTGCGGAAAACATTTTAAGTGGGTCAATATGTTGTACATTATAATGGATATCATATTTTAAATAAAATTCATAACTTTACGTAATTCAAACATTTTTTTATTAGTAAAAAATATTAAGGGATAGTGCAAAATTCGCTTATAATTATGAATGATCTAATGAATCTATAGTTATCATTCAAACTATTTGGACAGCCAAAACCATGAATGATATGGTATCGCATAGTTTCAACAGAATTTTAGATAAGGATTTGAGTGACTAAACTAGGTTTAAATTAATGTGATGCTAATCGTCACATGGTTTAGGTCGTTTCAAACATTTTAGACAGCAATTATAAATGGAGACTATTGAAAAATTTGATAACAGAAATTTACACAAATTGTGTCGGTGTTGCCCTATTTTCACTTATAACTATATAATTTTACATAGATATAGAGTATACAATATTTTTGTATAATAAATCATGAATATAAAATATTATTTAGAATAAGTCAAAAATGAATACAAGAATAATTTTTTGGTACCAGTTTTAATATTAGATGTTTGAGAGTGGTATAAATTTATAATTAATCATTTAATGTTCTATTTTGGCTTTAAATAAATAAAATATTTTCGTTATTTAAAGAAAAATTTTTCTACATATATTTATTGACAGAAAGCATTATTATTGAATTTAAAACTTCAAATCATAAGATTACGCACTTCATTTCCTTTCTATTTCTTCAAGAATATTTACCCCTTCTCTATTCTGTCTTATCATTTTAATCAAACCATAAATTGCCCTTTCCGCATTCACACATGTTTCTGCGGAACGTTCAATATAATTGCCGTTAAGTTTTCTTGCCATATTCATCCCTTCTTCTTTTGAAACTTCACGTGAAGTAAATAAGTCACATTTATTACCAACAAGCATAATTAGAACAGGTTCATTGTCCTTTACACGTATAATATGATCATAAAATCGTTCTACTCGATCTAATGTTGATCTTGAAGCCATAGAATACATAATTAGAAAACCTTCACCATCCCTAAAAAAGGAACAAGATTATTAAAATCAGAAAAATTTAATTGTCGACTTTAGTATGAATTATCATGTTATCAGAAAAGTTTTCACTGGCATTTATTATGAATACATACCTGACCCACTGATCATGTAAAGCTGAATTTTCTGCTACTGCAATAAATTTAATGAAAAACTGAAGCGAGTAAATATTTTGAAAAATATGGGATTATACTACTGGATCTAGTAATTTTATAAGTTAATAACTTTCGACTACTGAACGTAAGGGTTAAACTCCTATACAAGATTAAACATTCCTTATCATAGGATACTTGACATGCATATAATCCTAACAAATATATGTGAAATGGTATATAATATACAATAACTTAGATAATATTTATGACGAAGCTCCAATATTTCTAGGACATAAGGATAATCACTTTCAATCGACATGAACCCTCTGTAGTTGGATCATATATCTAAACATGAATACTTCTCTAGTTAATAAATATTATAAGTCTACAAAATGTGCTGATAGTGAAACACAAACCTCTATTTAATCAATCTAATAAAAATTACTTGGTGTGTAGTAACTAGACCAAGCTTATGAATATATTATATTGCCTCACAAGCGTAGTACTCTCCATTAAATAAGCATTTTACTTCGTAAATGGTTGTCATTCATAATTATATTTTGTAAATATTTAAATTTTAATTGACAAATCGTAATTGAAGGGTCAAAATGATCGACATTTAATAATAGGTGACGGGCATTTAATAGTAAACTTTATTAGCAATAGAAATGTTGAAAGATTGTTGCATTTAAAATGTCAAATAATAGAAAATATACCGTACGACTTGTAAATAGAGGGCAAATAGACTCTAATTTTCATTACGGACCATATGCTCGAGATTGGTGGAATCAAAATGTTAAACTTTCAAAAAATAGTGCATTAACTCTTCCTTTTCGCCTTTATATGAGTGTAATAACTTAAATAAACGGCTGTGAATTTTTTTTATCCATTATTAATAAACCTTCAAATCCCTTGCAACCAGGCTTTTTATGTTCAGTAGAGGGAAAAGTTGGTGATATACAGGATACACCTTCGGCAGCTATCAACATATTATATCGCGAATTATTTGGAACTAAAACTGAGCATTCGGGTTTAGCTGTATTTGGTTTTTACAATGAAAAAATTGTATCGGAAATACTAACAGATATTTCATTTTTTCCATTATATCTAAATTCTCTATAGTGGTTTCAAAAATTGGTTATTCTTCACGGGATGAACTTTTATATGCTGGGCCTGGTTATACATCATCTTTGGTAACACGTCGTGGGTCAGAAACTTACCTTATTCTACAACAAGTTTTAGAAAATCATTGCAGTTTGCGAGTTTTTAAAGGCAAAAATCAAATAAATCAATATGTTGGTGAAACACCAACTGCAATTTGGAAGAAATATGGAATTCACCAGAATAAAGACCATTTTGCACTTTTTGGGCTAAAAGATCAAACGATTCAAGCATTGTTAACAAATGGTGAAACAAATGATACAACATGTACATCACTTCAGTGGGGCAACAAATCAATTTTGCAACAAATGTTTGACCTGCATATTAAGCGTAGAAAAATTTTAATGCCTAATTAAGATTGGCAAATTCTTTTTACTAAGTGGATTGCACAAAAAAGTTCAATAATTCAGCTGCCATATGTTTTAAATACTATATATCCATCTAATTATGCATTTCAACACAAGGAACTAGCAGCTTGGCGTTCTATGTTTCAAGCTTGTGGGTGTACAAATATTATGCCATATTTAAAAGAAGAATCTGACATAAAGTTTTGGATGTGCGCTGTAGATCCTAGTGTAGATCGACAAACTCTGCAAAATTTATATAAATGGGAATTACTTAGGATTCAAGATCAAGAATCTTCATATAATATTACAACAAGTGATCAGTTCTGGAGTAGTTTTCGCCATGCACTAGAAATTAGTAAAAGAGGGGCTGGTGGAAATATTCGATTGCTCTCTATTATCGCACTTGATTTAATTATCAAGATATTCAAAAGGAATTAGGAGTAAGGCATAATGAAGTATTTGTTTTTTTAATGAAATATATTGATGCGAAAAATTTTATTATTAATTACAGGTTGTGGTAAAGCTATATATAAAGCCAAGAGACATGCACATCTCTATGGTGCTGGTGCTCAGCCAATAAAAATGCCCAAAAAAACAACTAGATTAATGGCTGAATAAGGAGAAGCGCTTTGAAATATTTTTTTCAGACAAAGATAATATGACAATGAGTTCTTATAAGGTAGATCCGAAAACTAACTCTATTCTTTATTTATGTGATAATAAGATCACTCTTTGGAAAAAGCTTCAACAAACTTTTCCAAATGGAATAAAAAAAACCTCTTTCATGGGTCGAATCGCAAATTGTACATATCTAAAGTATCGAGATGACTTAGGTGGTCTTTGTGGAATTTGTAACGATTATGGATTCAGATCATTTGAATTCGTAATTGAAATTGCGTAAAATACTTTTACTGACAGACTAGAATTGGTACTGGAAATTTTACTTTAAAGTTTTTGTACTAATCTATTTTTTTTTTCCTATTAGCAAAATTTTTAAAACTTTGCTATAATGGGAGAATTTGTATAGAATGGGTTTTCATAATTAAGACGAGATTTTAACCAATCTTTATTATATCGGATACAATTTTTTTTTTATTTTTTATATCTGATTTTTTTTTTTGTTTCCATTTCTCATTCACTTTCTTCCATCTCTTCATACGATTACACATGACAATTCCTACACTCACTACTCTCTTCCACGGGACAGTCAAACTTTAAATCAACACAAAAATAAATTATAGGTTTTATTAAAAGACTAAACAAATTGAGGCCAAAGAACTATATAAAAAAAAAAATTGTTGATTAAAATTTAAAACTAGGTGTTTGTTTTCTTTTTTTTTTTTACTTTGTATTCCATCTTATTTTTTGTTTTAATTGGAATGCAAACGTTTTTTGGAAAGATTTTTTTTCTTCTTTTTTATTTTATTTTATTTCATGATACAAAAATCGTTTTTACTGATATGTTTTTTTTTTCTTATTTTATTTTATTTATTTTATTTTTTTTAGAATAAAGTACTTTCACAAATTGAGCAATTGCAACGCCACCTTAAAAGAAATTTTGAACAGGAATTGGTAGTATTATCAGATAGATCAATAACCCATGATCCTTGTATTGACCATTGTCTTTCATACGCTTTTAGAGAATGTTCGGCCTCACCCATTTTTTTTTTTTTTATTTATTTATTCTTTGACAGGTCTTGTTGTGACTCGAACTCTTAGTTTGTAGTACATATAAACTATATACATAATTTCTAAGACTAAATAAAAGCCCAACTCCACCTGGTTATCTAATAATTACCTGGGCGCACTCTATCGCACTAGCTTATAGTTAAGCTAAAAATAGACTCTTTTAAGAGCTTGTCCAAAAGAGGTTTACACCCTTTTGTATCTAATTCCCTACCACATCATACCATACATTGTACTTCTTCTTATCCTTTACAAATATTTCAACCCCTTCTCTTTTAGATTTTTCTTTATAAATAGTTGAAGTATTCTTCTTTGGCCGTACTTCTTTGGTCTTCTTAATCCTTCTTCTTTATATTATGATTCTTTTCCCAATCGACAATCTTGATACATCTGTCTTTCCAAATAAAATTATAAAAGCTGTTCCAATTTATATGCATGGCAAGTTTCGTAATATAGAATGTCATTTTGATGAAATTCGAAGATTTAAGATTCTATTAAATGATTCCAACATGGTTAGGCCTTTAATCCATAGCTTTCTATTTTCTTGCCTATTAGAGTCAGTTTCCCCAATTAGAATCTTAGACAAGAGATTTTTTGGACATCTTTTCTTTTCTTCTTTTGTAAATTTGGACCATACCAGATCCAGAGTTGTAGTCTCGATACTTTGCCATATTAATTTATAGTGATTGCATTCAGCTAGGTGATCCTTGGTCTCTACTATGCCAATGTTGCATGCTAAATATTCACTATTTGTATAAATATCTGGTCTTCGTATTGCCAATGTTTTGAGGACTAGTAAACTTTCTGAGAGACACTTCAATTGTGTAGCTAGCTTCTTACTTTTCTTTAACGCATTATATTTCATACCTTTAAGCTTTTTTAATCTTTTTCAATATGAGAACCAATCCAATGTGGGCTTGTTTGAGTCAGGTTCTAAGGTTAGAATTGAGCTCATTAGTCTCCAATTTGTACTGTTCCAAATTTCAAAAATCTTTTTAAGAAAAGGCCTAGTTGCTTTTTCAACTTTATATTCTCTCCAAAAAAGAGAAAAAAAGATTCTTGTATCAAGGTCCAAATAAATGTTTGTTGAGTGTGTTAAAGAGGTAGCTTTTTTTGCAAGTGTATCTGCTCTATCATTCCATTTGTTGTCGCTATGGCCTTTAATTTTTTTAAGAGCCTCACACATTTTGAGATGTTCCAAGTGTGAACAGTTTTATAATTTTTTTAATATATTAGAAAACTATTTATCTGACAAATATATAATGCAATTACGTGAAATTCAAGAACAATTGTAACATTACCTGGGTCACCAAGTATGAAAAACTTATCTTAATGCTCAATTCAAGGCAACTTTAGCTTAGTTGGACTCTGAGGGAACTCTAATTGTTGCTGATTATAAGATGCAAGTTCTTCCGAAATCTGCTCGTAAAACTAAAAAAGATTTTTTTAGTAAAAGAGGTTGGACCTTGTACACCATATTAGTTTTTAGAAAAATTGAGAATCAGGATATGTTAGATATTTGGGTGTTCAATCATTGGTCTACTGATACAAAGCAAGATGCATGGTTCACTGTTTCCTCATTTGAAGCAGTATTTGATTCAATAGAACACAAACCAAAATGGATAACTATAGTTTCTGACAATGGTGCACATTATTACAATTCGGAGTTGATAACTATTGTAGCATATTGGCATACTTGGTACTCTATTGAAGTAAAACGATGGCTGTTTCTGGAACCAGGAGAAGCTAAAACAACCATTGACTCCCATCATGTAAACGTGATGTAGAGTTTTTTTTTTAGTAAATTTTAAATGCTAACAAAATACTGACAACTTAATACTTTATATTACCTTAGATCAGCCATAGCATTAAACGATATGTACGAGTTGGGTTTGACTTAACTGAAGGTGAAGATATAGTTGAAGCAGCGAAAGGGCTGGCCGAAATATCCTTGGCACAGATTACAATAAATTGTGACAATGTATGTAGTGAATCAGAAATTGAAGACATCGAATTAAATACAAAAAACAAAAAAAAAAAACAAAACCTAAAACCATGACTGGAATTTCAAAATTGTATTGCTGGGAGTGGCCAGTGGAAGGTGTATTTACTGGATTAATTCGTGCTAGAGGACTATCTCACACAGGGTCTTGGAAAAATTTTTTACCGGCAAAATTTAATGCCTCTATTATTCACCCCAAACTGATAGTTTCGGTGCACACAGAACCCACATCTGATTGGACTATGTCACTTCCGACAATAGGTGGTTTGTTATTTTCGTAACATGAGAATAACTTGTTAGAAATTAATTTGATAATTTATTATAAACTATAGTTTCTTCGAGTAATAAAATGGAATTGGAAGGTAAGTTATAATTTTTCGACCTAACTGTAAGAAGTTACTAACTACATTGCTCATGATGAGATAGATGTTACAAATTCTAGTAACGGAGATTATCATACAGGTTCTGAGATGGACATTGACGGTAGGAATCATTTATTTTAGTTCTCAAAGTTTGGAATGTTCAATTCTGGTTAAAAAAATATGCAAAGATTGGGCTAGGTAAAGCCAAACAATAATAATCATAATTTGGATATTTTTTAGAAAATAGAACCGGAAAAGATGAGCAAAACGCATTCATTCATTTTTAAAGATCTGTTGAAATGGAAAATTAAGATGGAATTGAAATTGAAATGAATGAACAAAATTTATTTATTCAATATCAAAAATCAGCTGACATAGGTACGAATTTGAGATGGTTCAAAAAAATAAAATGAAATGTGATTACTTACTTAGTGTACTGTTTATTTAGGAAATGAAGCTGAAAAGGATGAACAGAATTCATTCATTCAGTTTCAAGAAGCTGCCGATATGGAAAATTCATATGGAATTGAGGTTGAAACAAATGAACAAAATTCATTTGTTCATTATCAAAAATCAGCTGAAATGGGTAATCAAGTCACAAATTTAGGCTTATAAAATAAATAAAGCTTACTCACCCTGAATAATTTATTTAGAAAATGAAACTGCAATGGATGAACAGAGAGCATTTATTCATTTTCAAAAATCAGCAGAAATGGAAGATTCTGGTGAAATTAGAGTTGAAATGAATGAACTAAATGCATTTATTAATTATCAAAAATCAGCTGGAGTAGATAATTCCAGAGAAAGGTTTGTAGAATTGTTGGCATGATTTATTTCGATTTTAACTAATGTAATTCTTTTAGAGACATTGAAGAAACATTTCAAATACCCAAGGGTTGGGCATTTCCAGCAAATGCTAAATTTGGAAAAAAGGGTAGGGGAAAGAGAATCAAGGCTAAGGTTGTAAATATTTTAAAGCAATTTTTTTTGAATGGAAATATAAAGCCCAAGAACAAAATGACAGCCAAGGAGATGCATGAGGAACTGTTGAAGTTCGCACATGCTGAAGAAATTGAAAAGGATCATGTATCTCAATTAACCACAATCCAAAATTGGATTGGCCGCTATGCTAGGGAATTTAATCGAGAAGGAACAACTATTGCGCTTGATACCTTTAGAGCAATAGGCTCTCCCTCAAATGACGAAGATTAGTAAGTATTTGTATTTTATCCCATTCTAAATCTCAAATTTAACAACTCATTTTTGTGTCAAAATAGAGTCGAAAAGAATGAATATAGAGTACTTGTTTACCAGAAATCTATTTACATATAAGCAAAGGATGAATTGATTGCATCTATTGGTTATCAGTATTGTTAAAATAGGACATGTAAATGGAATATAAATATATAATGAAATAAACAGAGTGTAAATTTTGAATTAGATAAATAATATTGAAGAATTTAAGTTTCAAGATCATAAAATATTTATTTAGACCATATGATATAATATACAAATTCTTAAATGTACGCTCTATACACATTGCCTATTAGCATATAATTTGTTTTAAATCGAAGCTATACTCTGGCTTTTACTACAACATACCTATGGTGTTTTACACCTATGTATATATTAAGATATTCTAAGTAAAAGTGCTCTACGCCCCTAAAAACCCCTTCCCAAATCTCAACCTGAACCCCAAATACTAGCCCTAACATAAAAAATTGTGTTGAAAATTTTTATAAAAAATCTAAAAAACATATGATAGGTGCAAAACCATCATAAGTACGTTTTATAATAAATGATTCTGGATTATATCGATTCTTCATTGTAACAGAAATTATTTGAAAGTTGTCTATATTCCTGAAGGAATTAATTGCAGTATACATAAAGCGCTATTAGTAGAAGTAATCACCCATTGGCATTAACTAATAACAGAAATTTATTACCTGCTTAGTTCAACAAGTGATATTTCAGATTAAAATCTCTTTGATACTAAAATACCATAACACACCTTAGTACATGCTTCTATATTTTACAAAACAAATCCTGTGAATTGTACAAAGCCCACATTAAATCATTTCTTATCACAATGTAAAATGAAGGTAAACTTCTCTAAAATCTTTCTTGATCGTGAGTATAAAACGTACTTACAAAGAAAATATTGTATGGTACCACTTTTCTAATAAGGCTACATATGAGAATTATATATGAATCTGAAATTGAAAATTAACAGTTACCGTATAAGTGCGTAATAACGCACATGGGCGCTATTTCGAAATTTTGATTTTTTTAAAAATGCCATATTTGACTCAAAATAACGCCCATGTGCGTCTCAAAATAACGCGCCCCTCTATATGTACCATATTATTATTCAAGAAAGTAGTTGAATTTTTTTTCAAAATTAGCATAATAATTCGAATTATCACGCATGCGCGTCCCGAAATAACGCGCAGGGGCTCGAAATAACGCGCCCCTGCGCGTTATTACGCGCTTATACGGTAATTAGTACCGACAATTTTTGTTATATTTCAGCTTCGAAGTTATTAAATAACTGTTTTTATCTCTTTTCTAAATAAATTTGTGTGGTTTTATGAGGGAATAAGCATGAAGTTAAAATTGAAATTACTAAATATTTTGACCGATTTTAGTCCGAATGTGCGTGTCTTACTGAGTAAAAACTTTAAGTCTTGCAACAACAAGTAAATTTACTTTACTTACTGATTCTACTAGTTATGATCTATAAATTCAAAGAATAAGATCTCTGTTTTATTCAAAATAATATACGTTTTATTATGAGGTAAAAACTACGTATTAGGCGTTTGTTATAATTGATCTCCGCCGTGTAACCATATGAAATTTTGACCCTTTATCGGCGATTTTCCAATTAATGTTTAATTTTATTCGCGATAGTGTAGAGTCTACTGTAAGTATTTAAAATGAATTACTCAACTTCATCTGGGTGCCGCATAAATAAACTAAAAATGGCATATGAATGTAATTCAAACATAACAATTGATGATAGAGGTTAGAGAGATTAAGCATAGAACTTATAATTATGAATATGACATATGGGGCCTTTGCAGTAGAAAGGGCGGATACGTCAATATATATAATTTTGAGATAATTGAGTTTAATCACTTGTTTTGATTTTCGGACTGATCCGGGTTAATCAAAATTCACAATTTTGATTGGCTAAATATAACATGTGACTAACGGGTAATCTCGTGATGCGCTTGGTTTCAACTTCGCGCAACTTTCTTTTACATTACTTATCTTGATTTTTTATTATGCAAATTGACTTTCATTTATAATTGAAAAATGTTGTTCACATTGAAATTTACCAGAATTTAATGAAAACTCATTTTTTCATTTTGGGGTCGTATCCGCCCTTTCTACTGCAAAGCCCCCATATGATCTAATGAATCTATAAATGCTATCCAAAATATTTGGGACAGCCAAACCATGAATGATTAACATCACATAGTTTTACCAAAATTTTAGATAAAAAATTAAGTGACTAAAACTAGGGTAAGACTAATGAGATGCTAATTGTCACATGGATTGGACCGTTCCAAACAGTTTAGACGGCAACTATAAATGGATACTATATTAAAAAATTAACGACTTTTACTAAAAAACGCACTTATGGTGTTTTACACATATGTATAGATTGTCTCAAAGACTGGCTAATTGATCAGTGCAAGATGTTCTAAGTAAAAATGCTCTACGACCCTAAAAACTCCTCCCAAACTCTACCTCTAAATACCAACACTACATGAAAATTTTTATATTCAAAACTTAGAAAATCAAAAAAAAAAAACGAATAAAACATATAACAGGTGCAACCCCACCATAGGTGCGTTTTATAATAAATGAAATTAAATATCAGAAATTGACACAAATATACATGGGTGCCTAAATTGCCCAGCTTGATAAAAAAGTAATTACGGCATTTAGGCAGCCGAAATTATTATTACATAATGCCGAAATTTTTTGAACTCTTTTCATCAAAATATATCATATAATATAGTTATTTCGAAGGGTTTCATATAAAAAATTTAGCAATGCCGAAATGTTTGCCGAAAATACGATTTTTCAAAAATAATTTAGGCACCCATGTATAGACACAAATAAGGCAACAGAGCTCCCATTTTCGCTTGTAACTATATAATTTTACACGGATACTGATTATACAATCTTTTTGTATAATAAATGATAAATATAAAATATTTATTTAGATAGATATTAAAAATGAATACAAGAATATTTTTCATTTGGTAGTTTACTATAGTATAAAATCTATAATTAATTGTTTAACGACTATTTTGACTTTAGATTAAATAAAATATTTCGTTACTTGAAAGAACAAAATTTTCTCTATCTATTTGTTGGCAGAAAATATCATTGTTGAATTTAAGCCTCAAATCATAATATTACACACCTCACTTTCTTTCTATTTCTTCTAGAATCTTTACCTCCTTCTCTATTCTGTCTTATCATTTTAACCACACCATAAAATGCCCTTTCCACATTCACAGCTGTTTTTGCGGAACTTTCAATAAAATCGCACCTGAGTTTTCTTGCCATATCCATCCCTTCTTCTCTTGAAACTTCACGTTCAGTTATTTTGTCACATTTGTTACCAACAAGCATAATTGGAACAGGTTCATTTTCTTTTACACGTATAATTTGATCGTGAAATTGTTCTACTCGTTCAAATGTTGATCTTGAGGATATGGAATACATGATTAGGAAGCCTTCACCATCCCTGAAAAAGGAATAAATTTATTAAAATCAGAAAAATTCAATTGTCGAACTTTAGTATGAATTAGTATGTTTCAGAAACGCTTTCACGGGCATTTATTATGAATACAATACCTGATCCATTGATAATATAGAAATATATCTTCTGCTCCTGTATTAAAATGTAATGGAATAGAATTAATTAAACGAGTGAATATTTGTTTAAAATGGTTTGAAAAGTACGATATTATATTACTGGATCTAGTAATTTATGTTAATAACTTTTGGCTACCGTACATAAGATTTAACCCCCTAAACATGATTAAACATCCCTTATTATAAGATACTTATCATGCATACAATCCTAACAAATATATGTGAAATGGTATATAATATACAATAACTTAACCAATTTACGAACCAGCATCCAATATTTCTAAAACACAAGGATTATCGTCAATGATCACTTGTTTTCGATACGATTCTTCTGTAAATGGGTCATATGTCTAAATATGAACACTTCTATAGTTAATAAATATTATAAGTCTGCAAAATGTGTAGATATTGAAACGCAAACCTTCTCTATTAAACAAACCAATAAAAATTACTTAGTGTATAGTAATTAGACCAAGTTTATGAATATATATATTAAAGGCAAACTCCCAAGGCCTGCACGATACGCTTACCAATAAAGTGGTTTAAACATAACTATAATTAAAGAATACCAAATAACCAATTAGCATTAGAGTTCAAGTTATAAAATGTACAGCTATTTTTGACTAACTTGAATTCTAAGTGCCGTCTGATTGTAAATAAAGTTCAATCAAAATGATTAATCAAATGAAAATATCAATTTCAACTAACTAGCCAGTTATGTTAAATAATTATATAGACTATTTATACCTTTCCAACGCTTCTATCTCCAAGAATGACCAATTTGTATAGCATCATCGTGATAAAACATGAAAAAGCATTTAAGAGTGCAATTAATGAACTTGCAGCGTAACACAACACAAATTAATTAAAATTGCGCTACATTTTTTACGGGGCAATTCCTATCAGCAAACCAAGCAAAATTCGCTTATTCCAACAACCAAATTTTAAGTAACCATGCCTTTAAATAGATATTTTTCATTTGTTCATTATGTAAACAAGTATCAGACCTAAAATTTATTCGTAGAATTTTGTTTAGAGGTTGGAAGCTAATAAATTTTTACGCTGCGATTTACGGTATTAGTTTATTATCTGTTATGGTTATTTTGGCAACAAAGATTTTACGATTTTATTAGCTTCACTATTGAGAAGTCCGAATTTGAAGCACTTTTTTATAGACATATGTTTGCCTTTTAACTAGTGTAAAATTAATTATCTGCGTCACGGGTTAATTTGTAGGATTTGTAAGCATACGATAGTGGACAAATCCATATTTAGGGTCCTTAAAGCGACTACGCCATCAAAAATTTCACCACACGTGATCTGTGTTACATAAATATTTGAAGATCCTATTAATAAATTCGAAGGTTTTTTAATACTTCTAGCGATGTTTTTTCAATAACTACTTAATGAAATACGATAGATTTTTTTGTTTTAATTATACGGTTTTGTAGAATTAAAATAAAAAAAAATCCATTGAATTTGGTTAAGCGGTTGTCGAGAAATCATCAGTAAAAGTATTAAAAACGCTTAAAATATGTTGGAAAAAATACTAAAATCGTGAATATTTCCTTTTTTTAAAATTTAAACAAATATTTCTTGACACCCAACTATCCAAATTCGACAAAATTTTTTTTTTAATTCTGTGGATCCATAAAATTAAAATAAAAAAATTGAGCGAATTAGAATAGCTAGTTGTCGAGAAATATTCTTTAAAAGTTAAAAAAATTTAGCCGCAGCTTTTTTTAAAGACATCTAAATTTTGAACGAAGGTAACTCAGCATTTACCTAATAAAATTCGATCAAAATTATTTATTTTAATTTAATTTCATAAATTCATAGAACTAAAATAAAAAAAATTGTTCGAATTTGATAAGGTAAGGCCAGACCAAGTTGATTATGTGTTTTATATTAACCCTCCAGGAGAGGGGGGAGGAGGTGGTTCACATAGTAAAATTTTAAAAAAATTTTTTTAAAAAAAAAATTTTTGAATTTTTCCGTAACTGTATAAAAATTTTCCGCATCCCTATGTATATTTATCAAAGTTTTTTTTTTACAATGAGGGAGAGGGGGAGCTCTGAGGGGGGGTAATGTAAAACACATAATCAACTTGGTCTGGCCTAAGTGCTGAATTATCCTCGTTCAAAATTTAGATGTAATTAAAAAAAAGCTGCAGTCAAATTTTTTTAACTTTTAAAGAATATTTCTCGACAACTAGCTATTCTAATTCGCTCAATTTTTTTTATTTTAATTTTGTAGATCTACAGAATTAAAATAAAAAAAGTTATCACTTATATAGATACAACTCTATATTGTAAATTATTAATACTAATATTCAAAAATACAAAGCTAAATATTCTAGCAAAATAATTTTATATTATCGTGCACACTCTTATGATCATGACTTTTTTTTGCTATAATATTTTTATACATGAAATGCTATACTAGCTAATATTCAGCAAATATCTAAATATTCAATTGAAATATTTACTAAATGCATATATATTTATATACAGTATAACCTCGATATAATGAAGCTCTGGAGCTGGGGTGTTTGGTTCGATATATCAAGGTTTCGGTTCATTGAGGTACTTTGCTATAACGAATCTATATATATTTTTATAAAATATTCAGTTTACAATAATATCCCTTGATATAATGAACATATATATTTATTTATAAAACCTTCGGTTTATATAACATGTTCCAATATAAGAATTTGATTGATAGAGTTATACAAAAGTTTTGTTATACTATAAATATTTCGCTTTATCAAGGTATTCATTATATCAAGGTAATTTTATTATAAATGAAAAAATTTTTTCTCTGTTATACAGTATATCAAGGTTTTATAATTAAAATTCACTATATTGAGGTATTTTTGTAATAAAAAATTTTAGCTAAAAAAAATCTTCGCTATAATACCAAATTCGGTATATTGAGGTTTGTTATATCGAGGTTATACTGTAAAGCAAGTCATATTTGCAAATTACAGAATTAACACATTATTTTATTACATTTATTATTTTTTATATTTCAATATATATTAATAATTATAAAGAAATTCTATTTTGACCCGGGTCATTTTAATCTGTCACGTGATCACCTGACCAGTATGGCTTGAATCGAGCTCTGAGCAATTAAAAACAAGTTACGTGTTTTACACTTTGGTGTGAACCAATCAGATTGCACCACCAGGTAGGTTCAGATGAACCTAAATTTGATCCTAATTGTATACACATATCAACCATTAGCTCATACGGGATCCCAAAATCTTTTTAAAGTTTTTTAAAACTTTAAGACAATATTTCTCGATGAATACTTAACTAACTTCGGTGAATTTTTTTATTTTAATTCTATAAGATAATAGAATTAGAATAAAAGAAATTTAGTTAGATAGTCGTTGAAAAAACTTTGCTTAAAGTTTGAAAAAAAGGTTAAAAATCTTTGAAAAAATCAAAAAGCCATAGTAAAATTCAACTTTAAGTGAAGTTTTCTCAACAAGTATCTAACTAAATTCAAAAAAATTTCTTTTATTATTTTTTTTTTTTTTGTTATTAAAAGATGAGGCCTTGCTCATATCTTTATTGAGTAATTTATATAAGTAATTATAAAGAAACAAAACTAAATAAAGACTTAATT